GATCAAGGGGGGATGTAACAGGGGCCGTGCGAAAAATGAGCATGCCCCTGCTGCTCATGGCACTCAGTGTCCGCTCTGTAGTTATCCATTTTTGGACAAGGGTACGCGCGTTCGGCGTCTACGCGCGCGGTTGCCGAAGCCACTGCTACAGCCGCTGCGTGGAGATAGATATGTTGTGCGACCGGGGGCCAGCGAACCGGGCGGCGGCGCGGCCAGGCGGGGGCGCAGCACGGGAGACGATCGCAGCCGTCAGCGCGCCCCCCCGCAGCGAGGCGCAGCCGTCGGAGGCAAGCGGCAGCAGATCACGGAGCTCGCGGCGCGGCCGACGTTCACGGCGACCCGAGCAGACAGATTTCGCAGCCGCGCTCCTCCAGACTGGGGAAATCTCTTCGGCGGCAGGCATTGCTTCAGCGGGCCTCGGAGCGGGAAGGCGTGCAGCGACGAGGTCCAGGCGCCCCGCGAGTGGGCGAAGAACGACGAGCAGATCGACGCAGGCAGCCTGGGCAGCCCGCGCGCGCGTGCGTGGGCGGAGACGCGCGCGGCCCTGGGCATGTCACTCGAGGATGGCGCGCAGCGCACAGAGGTCACGAACCACTACCGCGACGTGGTACCGATAGGCGACGCGGAGGCCGAGGAAGACACCATGCCAGCGTTCAGGGTTCGGCGCAACAAGGGCATGGAGGACGACGGAGTCGAGAAGCGCGAGTCCGAGTTCATGATCGGAGAGAACGGCCACCAGCTCTGCGCGGTCCTGATCAAACAGCTCAAGAAGGAGGGAACGATCCGCAAGACAGGGTCGGCTCCGAGGAGCGCGTTGGAAAGGGAGCTTGGCCACCTCGTGTACGGATGAGCGAGGAGATAGGCATCGACATGATCGCAGACGCATTCGGCTCGGCAGATAACGAGGCAGCGTACCGAGCAGACGAGACTGCCCAGCGTCGACTCCCGAGAGGCGATGCGGAGGAAAGCAGTGTCCGAATTCGCTCAGTCCTCCCCCGGCAGCTCCCCCAGACCATCCCACGGGCTTTTGAGACCAGCGCCAGGTTCAGTGAAATAGTAAGTTCTGGACGTCTCACGCCTCCTCTCCCCTCGCGGCCAGCTGTTCCTGAAATCTTCCAATTCGAAGGCCCACGTTGTCCGAATTATTTTCTGCTGAGGCGACCTCCCCCGCCTCCCGAACCTAAGCGCAAGGGAAGAGGTAAGGGTAAGCGGAGCCAGCCAAGCCACCAGCAGCAGAGCGAGAGACCTCCGTGAGTGCGGGTGTTGCCCTGCCCGCGGGCCCTTGCGTGGGGGAGGTCGGCGCATGTCGGGTCCGAACGTCCGCTGACGTCAGCTCCACCAGTTTGAACTCAGAGAACACAGCTAGGCCGTGCTAGAGGCGCAGCTACTCAGTGCCAGCTAGAGCGTCAGTCACCCCGACATCGGCCCGACAGCTCGATCGATCGATCGATCCCCCCCCCCTCCTCCCCCGGTCGTCGTCTTCGCCGTCGCCCTCCTCATGCGGAGGAGTGCGGAAGATATTCAAGAATGTGTTTGTGAACGTTCGGGGGGTGCGTGTCCATACGTATCCTTTCCGAGCGTTTGGAGAGTTCGCGTGTGTTACATTTGTCCGCGATGATGCTGCAAGTTCTTGCGCAACTCTTCCCTTCCACGCGCTACCCGCTCGTGTCAGGACAGGTTGTTCTCTCTCCATGCTTAGATGCGTCCCGGACCCCCGCGTGTCGTGTAGAAAGCACGGCTGCAGTGCCTTTGCGTGTCTTCTGCTCTCGGGGGCCCTTACCAGGCCCGTGGGCCGTCAATGAGGGACCCTAATTCGAGTCAGGGTGTCACGCCAGTCTTGGGGAATGGGCGAAAGCCATCAGCAGTCCTTCTTCATGTTTGAGCCCGGCTCGCTGTCGGGCTTGCCACGGCATTGTCCAGTTGTGACGAAAGTCACCTGCCCAACACTGGCCGCGTCGGCATAGAATCTTGCCGAAGGAGACGACTGATGGAGAATGTTCCGACCCACGGGCTGGAGGATTCCCTGAGCGTGCCAATTGGTGGAACAATCGATGGCGTAACCATAAAGATTCGGACATCCGCGCAGATGTGTTGGATCGGCACTGGAGCCCCCTGGCGGCGCCTCCGGCGCCGATCCGAGAAATTTCCGCGGATGTCAGAGTTTTAACGTTTGTGTCATTGTGTGGTCCCTTGCCGATGTCCTAGTTCATCCAGGTCCCTGTTTTCCACCGAGCGCGTTCCACTATTCGCAAACTGCCTATTCGCAAAAGTCTCACAAACAAACACACATTTTGCCTCGATATAATGGACTTACATCCCTCGCGGCGGACCCAGGCCATTTGCCGTTAGTTACGTCGCGAGTAGTGGAGCGCGCTTGTCCAGCTCAAGGGGGCCCGAATGGGGAACAGGGTCCCCGAAGGAAAGGGACCCGCCGTCTTCGGCGTCCCGCAGGCCCCCGGGCCGTCCCGAAGGACTGCCCAGCACGAAACGCCGGTCGTGAGGGGAGGGTCCTGGGTCGGTGGCCTTGAGAGACTCGGGCCTGACGAAGGGGGGGGGATTGGGAAAGGGGGGGTTACGACATCTGCTGCATGCAGCTGGTTTCGGCCGGGCCGCCGGCCCATTCCTCGATACATGGGCGCCTTCCGGCGCCGGGAGGCGCCAGGAGAATCAGCTACGTGAGCTGATTCTCAAACTCCCCCCTTTGCTATCCCGCCCTCCGGGCCCGATCTGAGAGACGGGGGTCAACGCAGATGGGGGTCAGTCAGATTGCCAGATCTTGCAGGATCGTGCAGGGCCAGTGGCGCACAGACCAGGATCCTGCGGGATCCCGCAGAGCCTGACTGGCCCGGGTTTGCATGGACCTGGGTCAGTAGACTCCCGACTGTCTCGGGGGCGGAAAAGATGGGGGTGATGACTAGGGCGGGGTGGATATCAGGGCGGGGGCCATGATTTTTCCTCCGATTTCATGGCGCCTCTTCTTATTTCATTACGTCCCTGGCCCCCCCGCTGGGCCGCCCACATGCCGCCGGTCATGATTTGCACCCCCTCCTCTTGGACACCCCCCTCTTGGCCGCTCCCGACTGTCGGCGTCAACCCAACATACTAATACTATGTTTGCGTCGCCCCCGCAGGGGCGACGCGCGCACCGAAAAACCTTATGGTACATGCGTCGTGGCGGGCGCTTTGTGGTCACACCGCTCGGGAAACGATCTACTACAAGATGGTATACTATACGTTCGGGTCGGACGCGCGCCATGTCTCTGTGCGTCCCATCCTGGGGGAAGCCCCTGGAGGTCCAGGCCCCATTCCACTCAGGACACTCTTTCCACAGGGCATTCTGGAACGGCCGGGGCCCGACGCATTACAGCCACCGCCTCTCCGCCGCAACAGGAGGGCGACGCCTGCCGACCCCGACGATAGGTGGCAACTCGCGGGGTGAAGCCGTCTCGGGGTCTCAGGTGGCCCAGTTCTGGTTCTGGCCAGCAGGAAGGGCGGGCAGGTTCGAGGTTCTGGGTTCGGGTTATGATGTTCCAAGCTGCTGTAGCCCTGATCACCAGCAAGCGAGCATCCAGAAAATACCGAAACTTCAGGGTTTTCTCGTGTCGGGCCCTGGGAGGCGACACTCGTTCGACACTGTTTCGACACTTTTCTGGGTGCTCGAAATTATTTTTGAGATGTGGTCCTTAAGTACGATTGGAGCAACAGAAGGTTCGGGAAGGTTTTTCGAGTTTCTCAGTTCCCAGGGGGTGTTTTCGGGCCCCCGCGACAGTGACAAACGGATCTGGGGTGAAACGCTGCACCAGCTGGACCCCGGGAGGGGTCCGGGGGACCGATTTCAAACGGATTTGGCCCCGATCCCCTGCTTGTGACTGCTTCCCTGGGGTCCCCAACAGATCAGACCCCCGGCCGGCTCCGAAGCACAATTCGGGGATGGTTTGGGCGCCTCGCACCCACGGCCCCCAAGACGTCCCGGGAGACCCCCCACGAGGGCCCCCACGAGGACCCCAAGACAGGGCCATGGGTGCGCATTCGGGCATGTTGGAGGCATGGATTCCTGAGCCACGGAGCCTCCTTTCGGACGGGGCTAGGACGAGGATAATTCCATTCAGGAGCATTCCAAAACGCTCTCAGAGCTTTCTGGAACGCGCCGAGAAGGCCGCGGCGTCCGAGACATCCCCCAGAGCCGCCGGATCTCAAATGCTCTCGATTTATCCGTACCCTCGGCGGCGACGATAGGGGCGAATAGCCCAGGGTCGGGCCATTACACATATTCGCCCGGGAGCCTTTTCGAAGACATAGATCATCGCTGCACCTGAATGCATGTATTGCTCTCCCCTGGGCTATTCGCCCCTAGCGTCGCCTCTGCTACCCGATTCTACCCGCGTCCCAGCTCCGTCTTGTCCTTGCATGTGCCGCCCGCTCCCTGGCCGCGCGGGCCTCGGACAGTGGCGCCGCGCGTGCAGCTCCCGACCCCCGATAGGGCGCAGGGGCCGTGCACCCCCCCCCCTGCTCCCTCGACCCCTGGCGTCGTGATTTTTGTCGCAGCGTCGACCCCCAGAGGTCTGGACCCCTTCCCGGGGATCGTTGTTTCATCGCGAGTCGTCTTTCCCAGACCCCCTCGAGTGATGAAAAAATCACGACGGGAGGCTTTTCGCCATTTTCGGCCTCTGGGGTACCGGGCTTCGGGACCGTCAAAGAAAGACTCAGGATGAAAAACAGGTCCCAGGGAACAGGTCGAAACCTCTGGGGGCCGACGTCATGACAAAATCATGACGTCGGGGGTCTGGGTTTGACGGCCCCGAGGCTCAGGAAGAGCCCCGGAGGCCGAAGAGAGCGACAAGCCTTCCGTCGCCATCTGCTTTTCATCTCGCGAGGAGGTGAAAAACAGATCGCGACGGCGGCGGAGGCTGTGGGGGTGCTCTGAGGCCGAAATTTCGGGCGTTGTCGAGGTTTGTGCTCGTGTGCCTCTCTTGCCGCCCTCGTGCGCCCTGCGCGCGGAGGCGGCGGTTTCCCTCGTCAAGTTCCCCGAGTTCGTGAAGTTCACGCTGGCGCTGCTGCTGCATAAGTACGCCACCACCGCGCGGGTGCTGTCCCCGCGGGGCTGCGGGGGAAGCTCTCAAGGAGGAGGTCGACGAGGAGGTGTATGTGGAAGAGGACCAGGAGGGGGCAGGAGGTGGTGGAGGGGAGAGGATGAGGAGGACGACGAGAAGGAGAGGAGAGGAGGAGGAGGAGGAGGAGGAGGAGGAGGAGGAGGAGGAGGAGGAAGAGGAGGAGGAGGAGGAGGAGGAGGAGGAGGAGGAACCACAGGAGGGCTCGGTGGGTCCAATAGAGTGGTTTCGCAAACATGCATATTGGAATATATCTGCGCAATCCGACTAATCACACTGATCGCACCCGCTGGCAGACCTGTGGAAGAGTCGGTGCATTTACCGGAGTGTTAGTGTGGGGTGGGTGGGGCAAACTGTGTGTATTGCTTTGGAGTTTTCTCGTCCCCATGCCCGTTTGGAACCCTGTGCGTGCATAGCCAAAGCTGTCTGTGTGTGTGCTTCTGTGTGTATGTGTGTATGCGTGAGTGTGTGTGTGTGTGTGTGTCTGTCTGTCTGTCTGTCTGTCTGTCTGTCTGTCTGTCTGTCTGTCTGTCTGTCTGTCTGTCTGTCTGTCTGTCTGTCTGTCTGTGTGCGTTAGTGTGTGTGTGTGTTTGTGTGTGTGTGTGTGTCTGTGTGTGTGTGTTTGTGTGTGTGTGTTTGTGATTGTATTTGTCCGTTTGTGTGTTTGTGTGTTTGTGCGTTTGTGTGTTTGCGTGTTTGCGTGTTTGTGCATTTGTGTGTTTGTGTGTTTGTGTGATTGCGTGTTTGCGTGTTTGTGTGTGTGCTTGTGCGTTTGTGTGTTTGTGTGCGTGTGTGCTTGTGTGCTTGTGTGCTTGTGAGTGTGCGTGTGTGCGTGTGTCCGTGTGTGCGTGTGTCTGTGTCTGTGTCTGTGTTTGTGTCTGTGCCTGTGCCTGTGTCTGTGTCTGTGTATGTGTATGTGTATGTGTATGTGTATGTGTATGTATATGTGTGTATGTGTGTCTGTGTCTGTGTGTGTGTGTGGAAACCTTTGCATGTGGGTGTAATCCGATGTGTGTGCGTGTGTACTGGATGCCCCCATGCACGGGGTCGGAGGAGTCCGTTGCGCGCAGGCCGGCCTGGGCTTTCCCCTGCCGCTGCGAGTCCTCGCGACTTTCTCATCCACTATGCTGCGGGCAATTCGTGTGCTTGTCTGGCACAGCCGCCCACAGGACCCCATCGGAATCCGAGCGGGCACCAGGCAGTGCGGCACATCCACCACAGACACCGGCAGAAATCCAAGCGGCCAACAGACAGTGCGGCACAGCCACCGCGGGAACCAGCGGGGATGCACGCTGTCACCCGACAGTGCGGCACAGCCACCCACAGGTGCCCATGGACAGGGGGAGGAACCGGAGCAGCAGCAGGAGCACGATCGGGGGCAGAAGCAGGATCGGGAGCGAGAGCAGGTTCAGGAGCGGTGTCTGGATCAGGAAGAGAAGGAGGATGGGGAGGAGGACCAGTGTAAACTTTAGATGCATCAGCGATGTTGCAATACAGTCTCCCTCCAAGTTCCCTCATCATAGGTCCCTGCAATAATGTATGTTCATTGCGGGAAGTGCTCAATTGGAAGACAACCGTCTGAGAATCCTCAATTATCCCAGAACGCCATTCCTAGGATTTCAACACCGAATGAAAGTGACCATTGCGTCGTAACAATCTTGAACCCCGCCACAACACCATTCCTGCGGCTTCAACACCGCGACTCAACGTGACTGTTGCGCCTTGACAGTTCTCAATCGTGCAAGAACGTCGTTCCTGTAAGTTCAACTATACGAGTCCGTGAAACTTGCTTTGAACATTTTGAGGAGGAATGTGCGCCGCGCTAGGGCGAGAGCTGCATGTTGAAAAGGAGCCGCCCTCCATCGGAAACTTTCAAGACGAATGTGCGCGGCGCCAAGGCGAGAGGCACATGTTGACCCCCCCACGCCCTCCATCCGTGAAACCGTTGCACAGTTCTAGCCTCAGGATCAGACATGCTGAAGTCTCAGGCGAAACGCCTAGTCCGCCCTGCCGACACGTCTGGATGTGCGACAGGGGGAGTTGTGCACAAGGAGCGTGTTGGAGGAGGAAAAGGAGTAGGAAGAGCAGGAGGAGGAGGCGGAGGAGGAGGAGGAGGAGGAAGAGGAAGAGGAAGAGGAGGAGGAGCAACACACTGATGATGGTGTTGATGATGCTGCTGCTGATGATGATAATGATGATGAGAAGGATGAGAAGGAGGAGGAGGAGGGAGGAACAGGAGGAGGATGGGGAGGACATCGAGGGAAGATGAGGTGGAGGAGGAGGAGGAGGAGCCGGAGGAGGAGCCCGAGGAGGAGGAGCAGGAGCAGCAAACTACAGATGATGATGATGATGATGATGATGATGATGATGATGATGATGATGATGATGATGATGATGATGATGATGATGATGATGATGATGATGATGATGCTGATGATGGTGATGATGATGATGATGATGATGATGATGATGATGATGATGATGATGATGATGATGATGATGATGATGATGGAAGTGGTGATGGTGATAACGATGAC